AGGGAACCCAGCCCTGAGGTGCCTCCTGGCTCCAGGTGGCATCTCCCAGCCTTCCACAAGGAGCTGCCCAGGGATGTCCCCAGTGCATCCTCCAGCTGCTGCTGGGAGGTGCCACAGCCACCACTTCCCTGGCCCCAGGGTGCTGCAGGGGGCTGAAGCCACTGCCCCCACTCACATGAGTGTCCTCTCCAGCCAAGGTGCCAGGGTTCCCAGAGAGGTCCAGGTGTTGGAGGGAGGACCAGGTGGCTTTGTTCCCTGCCAGGGCCTTGCACAAGGTGCCCATCCCTGCTCGGGGAAAGGGGAGAGGGGGATGCCCAAGGGTCCCCCTGCACGGGGGACAACCTGGGGCAGAGGAAGGAGCACGTTCCTCCAGCTGGAGCAGCAGGACATCTCATCCTTGAAGATGCCCTTTTCGAGGTGGCCCTGTGGTCCCTCCAGCTCCAGCTGTTTGGTGCCACCTTGTCCCCAAGCCCTGGGCAGGGGATCTGGGCTCTACCTTTGGCCGTGGGCATCGTCCTGGCCAAGCTGAGGCTCTGCAGGCCCCTGGGACTCTTCTCCACGTGCCTGCTGAAGGCAACGATCCCTGGTGGAAGAGCAGAGAGCCCTGAGGAGCTGGGTGTCCATCCCACCCAGAGCTACAGCCCCCCAGGGTGGGGGGCCAGGGGGGTGGGACCCGGAGGTGACCATCCCTTGGCACGGGTGGCAGGTGAGGAGTTGGCTACCTCTGTCTTCCAGCTGGTTGCCAGCCAGGTTCATGGTGTGCAGGACAGAGCTGGGGTGGCTGCTCAGCACCTGGGCCATCCTCTGCACAAAGTCACTGTGGGGGGGGAGAAGGACCAACCACCTGAGCAAACCTCAGACACCTGGACCTTCCACCAGCCCCAGAGCTTCTGCAAAGGGGGGCTGAGGGTCCCTGCTCCCAGGGAGCTTCATGCTGTGGAGAGGACAGGGCACCAAAACCCCCCAGGCACCTGAAGGAAGCACCACCAGGCTGCCAAGACCCTCTTCCCAGCACCCAGGAGGACCCTTTGCTCACCCTTTCAACCCACTGTTCTCCAGCACCAGCTCCTCCAGCGTCACCGACTTGCTGAGCATGTAGAGCAGCTGCTCCGAGATCTCCTGGTTCTGGCAGGAAGGAAGAAGGAAGAAAGTCCTTCTGGCAGCCTGGCCACCTCTGCTGCCCCCAGCACCACCACTCACCAGCCTGAAGTCCTTGCAGGAGAGCTTGGTGAACCACAGGTTGAAGGACAGGGCGGCCACGCTCAGCGCCACATCCCTGCGGGGGGCAGGGGGAGGGGGCTCAAGGGGGGGCCCCAAGACACCCAAACCACAGGGTGCCCAGAGGGTGTCCAACAGGGCAGAACCACTCAAGTGTTCTGCTTGGAAAAGACCTTCAAGATCATCAAGTTCAACCTTTCACCCCAGCCCTGCCAAGGCCACCACTGCCCCATGTCCCTCAGCTCCACATCTACAGGGCTTGGAAACCCCTCCAGGGATGGGGACTCCACCCTGGGCAGCCTGGGCCAGGGCCTGACAACCCTTTGGGGAAGAAACTGTTCCCAAGATCCAACCTCAACCTCCCCTGGGAAACTTGAGGCCATTTCCTCTTGTCCCATCCCTTGTTCCTGGGGAGCAGAACCCGAACCCCCTGGCTCCAACCTCCTCTCAGCAGCTGCAGAGCCAGCAGGTCTCCCCTCACCTCCTGGTCTCCAGGCTGGACACCCCCAGCTCCCTCAGCTGCTCCTCACAAGTTCTCCAGACCCTTCTCCTTGTGCTCCAGCCCCTTCCCCAGCTCTGGACACATGTCCATGAGTATCAAGCAACCCACAAACCCAGCTCAGCTTCTCCAGATGATTCCCTCAGGGAAAATTAAATTTCATCAAAACATTTTCACACTCTGGTCAAAAAAATCTGATGGTTTGGGTTTGTTGGGCTTTTTTTTTTTTTAATCTTTGGAATTCTGAGCTCTGAGGTAAAAACTGACACAGGTTCTGCTTGACTGGCCCCAAACCTCAGCTTGAACCCTCACACCACCTTCCTCAGGGTGAATTTGGGGGTAAATGGGGGGGGGCACAGATGGAGCCCAAAGCCCCCCTGGGAGCATCTAAAGCCCTGGCAGATATTTTTGTAGAGATCTATTTGTACACCCGGGGGTGCAGAGGGACCTGCTTTGCATGGGGAAACACCTGCCAGCCCGTGGCCACCAGGAGGGTTGGTTCTCCCCTCGTGACTCTACTGAAGTGTTGAAAATGAATCACAAAGAAGAGTTGTCACCCCGTGGGACTGGGGGTGGTGGTGGCTGGTGCCACCAGGCTGCCCGTGTGGCACCTCCAGGGCGTGTAGGGGCATCAAAGCTTCCAAGAGGAGCAGGGGAAGGTGTGGGAGCAGCTCTGCTGTGGGCAGGGGACACCTGGCATGGCCAGGGGACTCACCTGCTCTCCAGGTGGCTGAAGTCCAGCAGGTTGAACTCCCGGCAGTCCTGGCTGTGGTAGATGTTGTCCACGTCCTGGTGGGGATGGACAGGCCAGGTGGGTCAAGCTCAGGAGTTTGTGTGTGCCTGGTGGTGCTGGAGGGAACTGAGCCCTTGGGGGACCCTCCCCTGGGAAGCTCCTTTGCCTCAACCCCCTCCCCTGCAGCTGGTTGGGCACAGCGCCCAGGTTGGTGGGACCAGGGCTGGGGTCTTGGATCCCCTTCTGCAGGGACTGGCCAGAAGGAGGGAACACCCCACCAGGCCGGTGGGAAGGAGGGGTGGAGTGCACCAGTGTCCCATGGGATGAGGGGAACAGCTGGTCCTGCTGTGGCCAGTCCCATGCTGGGTTCTCCTCCACTGGGGACAACCCAACGGGGTCCCAGGTCCCCAGGGACATGAAACAGCCAAGTCCAAAGCATCTCATCCCTACTCCCACTTGGATCCCACCCCACCGAGGAGCACTCAAGCCAAGGAGAAGTGCAATTCCCAGCTCTGGGATGTCCCTGCAGCCCTGTTGAGCTCCTCTGCCAAGGGGGACACTGTGTCCCCTCCCGGGGGGTCCCAGCTCACCCACTGGATCTCCTCCCGGAAAGCGAAGCCGTTGTAGTCACAGAGAGCAGCGTAGGTCTCTGAGAACCCCCCTGTGCAGAGAGAAGGTCACCCTGGTGGCAGAGCCCAGAGGGACAGGGATCTGCTGGAGAGAGTCCAGGGGAGGCTACGAGGATGATGTAGGGGCTGGAACATCTGAGAGACCTGGGGCTGCTCAGTCTGCAGAGGAGAAGACTGAAGGGGGATCTAATGAATGTCTCTCAATACATGAGGGCATCAAGAAGGCAGGACAAGCTCTTGTCACTTGTGCCCTGGGACAGGACGAGGGGTAATGGATTCAAACTGGAGCCCAGGAAGTTCCACCTGAACATGAGGAAGAACTTCTTTGCTGTGAGGGTGACAGAGCCCTGGGACAGGCTGCCCAGAGAGGTGGTGGAGTCTCCTTCTCTGGAGCCTTTCCAGCCCTGTCTGGATGCCTTTCTGAGTGACCTGCTCTGGTTTTGGTCCTCTCTGGCAGGGGGGTTGGACTGGGTGATCTTTGGAGATCCCTTCCAACCTCTATTATTCTGTGATTCCCCCAGGAACATGGAGAAGACCTCTGGGGAGGGCAGAAAGCAGGAGAAGGATGGTGGAGACTCCCCCTTCCCTCCTCAAAGAGGCCAGGGTGTCCAGTGGGAGCTGCTGCCCACCCATAAGTGGCCACACCACTGCAGTTGGCCTGGCCATGGAGATACCAGCTGAGGTGCATTGCATGATGTTCAGGGTGGCATCCTGCTCCAAACCAGACCCCAGGAGAAGCCCCTGGCCCTGCAGCCCCCCACGCCAGGTGGGTGGAAGGACCCACCCAGGTGGACACTGAGCATCCTTGTCCCACAGCTGCTCCTTTCTGGGGAGCCACATCCCCTCAAACCTGCTCCTTTGGACCTCCCCACCACAGGTGCCCTGCCATCATGGGGAGGACCTTCAGCAGAGCCAGCACCGATGGACCTGGAACTGTGATGGTCCTCAGGGTGCTCCAACCCTCCTGGCTGCTCCTGGAGGAGATGTGGGAGGAGGAAGAAGGACATACCACAGGGCCCGGGGCTGCTCCTCAGCATTTCATCCAGGGAGTCCAGGATCTGCAGGATCCTCTGGTACAGGTTGGGGGGAGAGTTCTTGAGCAGTGTCCTAGGGCAGGAGCAGAGGGGCTGGGAGAGGAGCATCCCCCACCACTCTGGGCTTAACCACAGCCCCTGAGTGTGAAGGTGACCAGGAACATCCTTCTCCAGGTGACAGGGGAGCAGGGTCTGGTCTCCCAACCCCCGATGAGAAGGTGTTAATTGCTAATTCATCCCAGATTTGGCACTTTCCCAAGGCTCTGGTACCTACACAGCTACCCCAGGAGGAGCAGCCAGACACCTTACCCAGGATCTGAGTCTGGGAAGACCTTCTGCAGGGCCAGGGTGACATGGATGACCACCTGCTCCAGCTCCTGGAAGGACAGGAACCGGAAGGCGAAAGACGCTGCCTCCGTTTCTATGACAACCTGCAGGCTCCAAAGGACACCAGATGCCTGAGCTGGCAGTGTCCCCAGGGTCCCCAGGGTGACAGCCACCACCTCCTGCCTTGCAGACACCCCCAGGAACCCAGCAGAGCACCAGGGACTGGGGGTAAAACCCACGCACAGGAGCTTGGGACGTGCCCAAATAACCCAGAAACCTCCCCAAAATTCAAGCAAAGCTGATGCCAAGGGTTGGGGTGGGGGGTGGGGGGGTGAGTGCAGCCTTGGCTGTGCCCCAGTTCCCTGTTGGAGCTTCTCTAACCAGGATTGGAAGCACTTGGAGCTTTTTGGTTCCTACCAGGGGCAAAAATAAACAGGAATTCAAGGCTAAAATCCCAGGGCAACACGTGCCCTGATTCCCAACTGGGCTGAGCTGGGAATTGGGAGAGAGATGTGGAGCTGCCTGGGGGGCACTGGGGCTGGACCTGCCTG